CACAGGGGCTGCTTGAGTGGCCCTCTGAATTCAGATTTAAAGAACAGGACTTGGATGTGAATCCTTTTGGGGATATGGAACCATGTGCCAGAGGATTTGTAAATTCTTAAATATTGTTTTTGATGTTGTCAAAGCATCATATGTTGTCACCTTCCTCAGTGAATGGAGTTTATTTCCAAAGTGGTATACTAGTAAAAGGAGCAGTGTTTTCTGCTACCTCTGCTTGAGGCTACTTCAGTAGTTAGTCATACATTTTATAGACTTAGCCATAGGTTATGTGACTTCTGGTAGAGCTGTAAATCCAGTGTGTGTGTGTGTGTGTGTGTGTGTGTGTGTGTGTGTGTGAGATATGCATCCTTCAGAAGCCAGTATAGGATAGTTTTCAGGGCCTGGGGTCCCAGCCACAGATTCTGTCTGAGTGCACTCATTCTAAAGTGGTGTGTAAGGAATCATTGCTGTGGGATGACCTCATTTATGATGTGGATGGGAAATGGAAATTCCAGTTCTGTTTTTATTTCAGAATATTTCTGCTTTTTTGGTTTCCATTTAAATATGAAAACACTTAAATGCAAAACGCAAGCAGATTTCCCCTCCCCCCTGATATACTTTATTTCATATTTACCATGAATATCTATACTTGGTAATAACATATTACTGAGTGAAATTGCTGCTCAGTTAACTTGAAACAGATTTTATTACCTGATGATCATTTTACCCCAGTCACATCAGTAGTTAAAATTTCACAGGTAGAATAAAATTTTGCTTATTTGACTTATTTCTAATTTTTTTAAAAAAAACCATTTTAAGTGGTGAATATTGATTATTGTCAATAAAATCATATACTAATGTTATTTATTTTTTTCCTAGAGGATTCTGAATGTGCCTAAAGAGCTATATTTAGGAAGGGCTTCATGCAACATCTGGGTAGTTGTGTAGCAGCTGGGTAACAGCACATAAGAAACGACTCAAAGCTCAGAACACTAATTGAGAAAGAGCCTGGTGTTTAGCTCCAAAGCCAAGGGGAAGGCAATGTGGGAGGTAATTATCCAATTTGGGATATTGCATGGGTAAAAGAGTTACTGTGTTAATAAAAATATAATCAGGCCTAGTTGCCTGGGGTTGCCGTTTATTTTTGCCTATCTCCCCCAGGAGCTATCTCCAGGTGCAAGGTGGCTCAGTGAGTCCACATTTTACTTTTGGCACTGACTCAGATGGTAGGTGTGTATATCCTGAGAAACACCGAACCCAATACTGACATGATTCTGGGTACTTAAATGATGGACAAGGATCCCAAGATAGTCCTCCCACTATTTTTGGCATTGGTGAGGCTTTTATGTTATATTCAGGTTTAGGCATTATATTTTAATTTTCAGAGAGATGAGTGAGGTGGGGGAGTGAGGGGATTGAGTAAAAAAGAAAAAATCTTATGGACACAGACAACAGTGCAGTGATTGTTGGGGGTGGGGAGAGGGGGAGTGGAGGAGGGTATAGTGGGGATTAAATGGTGATGGAAGGAGTCTTGACTTGGGGTGGTGAACACATAATACAGTGCACAGTTGATGGCTTGTGGAATTGTGCACTTGAAACATGTATAATTTGGTTAACCAGTGACACCACAATAAATTCAATAAAAAGGAAAAAAAGAGAGAGATGAGTGACAAGGAAGAATAATAGAATGAAAATAACCAAAGATTATAAACTGCAGGAAGGGGTGTCAGAAACATAGCCTCTGGTATAGGAAGAGGCATCTACATGTTCTACCATTACTTTTGAAGTGAAAGTGTGTTATGAATGAGATGAGAATCACCTCTAAAGATGGGACAATTGCAAATTCGCTTGGAAAAAAAATTAGCCTTCCTGTTTTTCTGTAAAGTTGAACAAATAAATAGCTTTTAAAGTCCGTAAAATGACTTTTTAGTATAGGAAATAATGGATTAGGAAGTTGTTGGTCCATCTCAAAGGTTCTCTTCTAGCATGATTTAAAGTCCAGTGGGAAGACTTCTGCCCCCTGGTCTATTCTGGTTTTCAGTATTTATAACATTAAGATTCTTTGGGTTTCTTTTCATTGTCCCTCTGGTACTCCCATAGTCCTTCAACTCCCAGCCAGTACCCTGGCCTTCTAGCCATTGGCCCCACCACCCCTCACTATCCTCCATCCCCTCCATGGCCTCCCTCCCTTTCTTACCAGCCTAAATTCCAGGGTCAATCATTATGTCACTATCCTGTGTGCATCCTGGGCCACAGTCTACCTCTCTTGTTTTCTAGAACTCATAGCAAACTTGGAACCCTGGTTAAATCCAAGAGTCGGCCTGCATGCCTGCTTCTTTGCAGCTGAACTTGGCTGGTAAAAACACTCCACTAGTGCTGACTGCTTTCATCTTAAATATATCACCACAAACATCAAATGTACCTTCACTGCTGCTGGACAAACATTCTATACTTTCCTAGCTATTCACTCGCCCAATTTCCTGGACATTTATTTCATACCATCTCCTCTCTGCTCCAACCTCCAACACCTTCTGTCCCATCTTAATTTTCATTTCCTGCTGCATGGAGCATATTGAAGTGAACAGAAGAGAACATCCCCAGAATACATCCCCTGACTACCCACCCACCAGCATCCACATCCTCTGCCTTCTAGTCTGTGTCTAAGGAGAACCCGCTGTGCCAATCCCTTTACCCTTGCACTGGATCCAATCTCATTGGACATTGCTTCAGCAATTCTACATTGTCTTTTAAAAATCGTTTTTGCTCTTATAATGAATACTATCAGCATACGTACATTCTCTTTTCCTTGCAATTTCAGAAATCATTTTTAAGCCTCATTTCCTTACCAGTTACCATCTCATTTCTTTGCTCCCCTCTGTGCTAAATTCCCCTAAAGACTTTTCCATGCCATCTCCAACTCCTCTTTCCTCATTCCCTCTTAAGCCAACTTCAATCAGGATTATGTCCCTAAAATTTCACCAGGAATGTTCTTGTAAAAGTCACCAGTGACCTTTATCATCTTAAATTTATCACCACAAACATCAAATGTACCTTCACTGCCGCTAAATCCACTGAACAATTCTCAGTCCTTGTCTAACTTGTCCCAATCATGTGTTTGACATAGGTTAGTCACTCCTTCTTTGACATACTTTCTTCACTTAACTTCCAAGATACCACATTTTGGGGGGATTTCTTCTTGTCTCATTAACTAATCCTTCTTGGCCTCCTTTTTTCTACTTCCCATTTCTCCTAATGCTAGCATACTCCAGGTTTTGTTGTTAGTCCTCTTCTCTTCTTTGTACTCACTCATTTGTTTGATCTCACCGAGTTCCATGGTTTTGAATATCATCTGTGGGCTGACATACCCTAATTAATATTTTTGGGTCATACACAACTGGGTGCTTGACATCTCCACTTAGATATTTAATAGACACCTCAAATTCAACATGCCCTAAATGGCATTCCCTTGGGCTTCTTCCCTTCAACCTTTCCCATCTTAGTCAATGACAACTACATTTTTCCATTTGCTTACATGGAGTCATCCTTTGTTCTTCACTTTCTCTCATACTCTAGGTCCAATCTACCTAGACATTCTATTCTCTCCACCTGGAAAATATATCCACAATCTACCACTCCTTGTCTCCAACACTGTTGCAGTACTGGCCTGTGCTATCATTTTCTCTTGCTTGTAATAGCCTCCCAACTGGTCTCCTGACTTCTATGCTTAGGGCTTTATAATTTATTTTCAGCTTAGGAGTCCATAATCTTTAAAAAATGTAAATTGGATCATATTGCTTCTCTGCTCTAACCCTGCATTGGCTCCCTCTTTCCCCCAATCCTATATAATAAAAGGCTAATATGCAAATCAACCAAATGGCATAACAACTGGTTGCTATGATGCACACTGACCACCAGGGGGCAGATGCTCAACACAGGAGCTGCCCCCTGGTGGTCAGTGCACTCCCACAGCGGGAGCGCTGCTTAGCCAGAAGCCAGGCTCATGGCTGGCGAGCACAGCGGCAGAGGCAGGAGCCTCTCCTGCCTCAGCAATGCTAAGAATGTCCGACTGATGGCTTAGGCCCGCTACCCGCTGTCAGTCGGACATCCCCCGAGGGCTCCCGGACTGCGAGAGGGTGCAGGCCGGGCTGAGGGACCCCCCCAAGTCCATGAATCTCTGGGCCTCTAGTTAAAAAATAAAGTCATTACAATGTCCCAGAAAGACTATTTAGTTTCCTAGGGCAGCTGTAGCAAAGTACCACAAACTTGATCACTTAAAACAACAGAAATGTATTCTTTCATTGTTCTGGGGCTGGAAGTATGAAATCATGGTGCACCCTCTCCGGAGTCCTTAGGGGAGAATCCTTCCCTGTCTCTTCCAGCTTCTGGTGGCTATAGGTGTTCCTTGGCTTGTGGCTGTATCACTCCAATCTCTGCTTGTTTTTGCGTGGCCTTCTTCTCTTCTCTCTCTTATAACAGTACGTATTATTGTATGTAAGCCCATGAGGATAATCCAGGATGAGCTCATTTTGAGATCATTAATTTATTTGCATAAGCAAAGACTCTTTTTCCAAATAAGGTCACATTTACAGGACCTAACGGGTTAAGATGTGGGTATATATTTTGGGGGTCTACCATTTAACCCACCAAAAACCCATCAATTATAAACCCCTGTTACCTCTTGGATCTCTTGTTCTATCACTCTTTCCCTTGTTGCAAACTAGACTGGATTCTTGGATTTTTCTCAAATATGATAGCCATGCCTGGATTAGGCTTTCTCACTGGCCATTTCCTCTGCCTAGGACCTCTTCCTCCAGATATCAACCCATCTCACTCCCTCATGTTACATTCTCATGAGGTATCACTTCATTACTGTATTTGAAATTGCAGTGTTCAACTTCCTTTTCACCCTGCTCTTACTTTATATTTTTTCCTCATTCTGGTTGAATGGGCAACTCTGCTTTGTGTAGTGCTAGCTGGGGTACTAGGAATGCTTGAAGGTCAAAAGGTCTCACCCATATGTCTGGAAGTTGTTTCTGGCTGCCAGATGGGAGTTCAGTTGGAGCTGTTGGCAAAGCGTCTTGGTTCTCCGTGTAGCCTCTCTGTGTAGCTGCTTGGGCTTCCTCGCTGGTTGGTGGCTGAGTTCCAAGAGGGAGCATGCAAAGAGGAAGGAAGCAGAAGCAGTCAGTCTTCTTAAGGTCTGGGCTCAAAAGTATCAGAATATTACTTCTACTGTATTCTTTTAGTCAAAGTAGTTGCAAGGCAGTCTAGAGTCAAGAAGAGGAAAAATAAACTCCACCTCTCAGTTGGAAGAGTATGTTTGTACATAAAGGCCAGAAACTTGTGTAATTGTCTTTGGAGTATTTATGGTAACTATCTACCACATGGAACTTCCTGCGTCATTAATATATCATGGTGTGGCTGCCAACCAAAATGGACGTCTTTTTTTTTTTTTAAGTTTTTTTTTTTTCTGCATTGTAACTTTTCCAAAAAATCCTCCTAATAATTAAATCAAAAAAAGGGGGGATAGTGGAAAAATACCATGTAAGGAAAAATATCCTGTAACTAAATTACATCTAGAAAAATTTTTTCATTTATGCTAACAGCAAGACACCCAGGAAAACACACATGGTGTCAAAATAAGCCAAAGGAAAATCATTTGGGCAAATATAAAAAAGACCCCAAGTAAAACTCCCTTTATTAACCTTCGGTCGAGAATATGTTTGTATATTTTCAGAAAACAACTCCAAGACCATGTGGATTCCTGCAACAGAGAGGAATTATCAGGAATGCTCCAGCCATGAAGACAAGAGGAAAAACAATCCAGAGATGAAGGACGCTGACGTCACTTTGCCATGCTAGCAGTCAGCAGCTGTGCGTCGCTGCAGGTTGCCCAGGATCAAACCAGAGAGGGTCGGACCTGCATTGCCACCATTTGTCCACCATCCAGAACTGAAATATCATTGCTGACATCTACACATAAGGAACTGTCGGACATTGAAACTTGGACTCAGAACTCTTGGACATTGAAATTGGGACTTAAAACATTTTTTGTTCTTGAAATGTTATGCTTAAGTTTTAAAATGTTTTGGGTTAAAAAAAAATAGAAGCAGGGGCATAGAAAGGGAATGGACTGATAATTCTTGGGGGGAAGGAGGTGTGGGGGGTGTGGGAAGAGACTGGACAAAAATCTTACACCTATGGATGAGGACAGTGGTAGGGGGTAAGGGCATGGGGTGGGGTGGGAACCTGGTGGAGGGGAGATATGGTGGAAAAAAGAGGAACATCTGTAATAATCTGAACAATAAAAGATTTATTAATTAAAAAAAATATGCTTGCATTGAATTTTTTAGAGGGAGAGGAGAGAGAAACATCGATTGGCTCCTCCTGCATGCCCCCCTACTGGGATTTGAGCCCACAACCTGGGCATGTGGCCTGACCTGGAATTGAACTATGATCTCCTGGTTCATAATTGAAGCTCAACCACTGAGCCATGCTGGCCAGGCTAAAGCACTATGTTTAAGAAGGGGAGGATTCCTATTGTGCTGGAAACTTTAATGACTGCTAAATCTTCAGCTCCAGAGTGAGGACCAATGTGTTAATTTAGAAATCCTCTTTAGGAAGAGCTGCCTTCAGTGGCTCACAAGTCAATCTGGAGTCCTGAGTAAAGCCACACCAACAGGCATACTTACCTCATCTCCCTTTCATCTCTTCTTTCCTCTGTGACTAGGAATATGCATATTCTTGAAAAACTAACCAGGTTGCCACTTGGGTTTCTCTGCTTTGTCACACATAACTCATTTAGTGTTCTCTCACATATCCTGCTTCCCATCCATTAGTCCACATTCTCCATTAAGGTGATGTGGTTTTGAATTTTTATTTTTCTTATTCTATGTACATCCAAGATATTTGGTTGTGAAGTGAATATTCAGGGTAGGTACTAAACAGACTTACAGTCTGGGTTCTTGAATATTCCACTTTTATCATACACAGAAAATTCACAGAATATAATTCATTGAGGACTCACCTCCATCATGTGGTCCTTTCTTACCTCTCTGACTTTTAAGATGTAGAAATGGAGCACCAACTCTAAGTGATTCTGGTATTGTTGCATTGTTTTAATTACCTGAGAGCAAAAATAAGCAGCCATAAGTGGAACTCATTTAAAATACACTCAGGAGTTTCAGGGTGTTTTTTTTTTTTTCCAGATTAAAAACAACAAAAATTGACACCAATCATAAAAACGTTAAAAAAGGAAAACATTTTCCAATTAATATTTTATGCTGTGATGCACCGAGAAGCACTTCAGTTTTTGGTAAATGGAGGAGGAATGATACTGGAATCATGAGGGGGGTTGTTTCACTTCAGGCAGATTATTAGGAGTAAAGGAAAAATTAAAATAAGAGTATTTGCCGAGCAGTAGTACAGTGAATTATCCTCCATCAAGATTGAATCCAGGCCATGTGACTGCTTTTTGTGATTACGGACACATAGAGTCTCTCTGAGCTTCATTTTCCTCATCCATAAAGTGGGAATGATAATGATAATACCTGCTCTACCTCACACGTGGCCCAGGGGAGAGATACTGTGTGTGTGAGAGTAGAAAGTACTTTATTAAACATGAAGCATCAGGTATACCAACACATTATAGGTATCAGTACAAGAAAAACGTTTTAGTTTTTATTATTTGTTTAGTTTAGTGACAGAAATTATTCTAGCCCTTCAAAAAATATGTACTGTTTATAAATTTTTGGTACTTATTGTTGCTTTTTTGTGGTAGACGAAAGTGTTTCAAAAATATACTTTCTGGATTACAAAGAGGTCAATTAAAATTAGAAATGCAAATATTATATATTAAAATGTACAGTGTTCTCCATGAACTGAATGTTTTCATGAAAATGCAAGTTATTCATGTCTAACTGATTTTTTAATTCCTCATTGTGATATGTAGAAAATGATAAAAATTAGTATTTGCATTTTAAAGAACTTGGATTGTGGAAGGAGTTAAGTAGCGAATTATTGAAGGGTACCAACCAAATTGGCACTCTCGTTGGGGCTGTTCAGAAATAAAATGGAACAAAAAAATGAAATGCATTGGTGCTTTAACAAATTCAAAGATGAGTTCTTGATTATTTTATGGGGAATGAATTCTATGCATCCCTGGAGGCCTCCAGTCAGCACTTGCCTCCACCTCACAAAGAACAGCAAACAAAGCATGCTTGCCTCCAGACATCTTGGAGCAGAGCCTGTGGTGTGGGGGGTGAGGCACTGCTGAGCTCTGATGTAAACACAAATTTGTGAAGGTCTTCCTACACCCTCCCCTTATCTCTCTTTACAGCGTACTATCTCTCTTGAGTTTGTTTTACTCCTTGACATCACTTAGGAGGTTGTGACAATGAGAACAGGGGCTGTCCACCTAAGTCTCCAATCGAAAGGATATCCCTAGAGCAGCCGTTGGTGGTGGAGGAGTTAAGTCCCAGCTCTCCACCATCCACCACATCCTCTCCGCTCCTGAGAACCCCTATACTCCTGAGTTTGGTTGTGCCCCTTCATGTGTGGGCAGAATCTCGTCCTCTGACCTAGGCCAGTAACTGTACAGATGTTTTTTTGTCCTTGATGCCGTGTGACCAATGCCTTCTCTTACTGTCCTCCTTCCTGTGCTTTACTGACAGTAAGGAATTTTAGTCAAAACAAAGCACAGGGATAGGTGGGTGGTATTTGTGGGAGTGATGTTAAGGACTTCAGTACAAACTGGATAGTTCTGGTTCTCCTACTAATTTGTTAGCTTCTGGAGGGCAGGAAGTTTCCTTTTAATCTATATATCCCTCATACTAATTGGCACCGTGCTTTGCATATTGTTGATGATGAATATTATGGAATGGATCATGCTTCTGTAAGTTGTGTAGCAGTACTTACGAGTGAGGTTAAACACTTCGTTTTTGGAGTCAGATAGCTTGGGTGGATTCCTGGCTGTGCCATTTAATAGCCTGTGACCTTAGGCAAGTCACCAAACCTCCTGGGCTTCCTCATCTTGAAAATGGGTATAATAATACCAAATACCTCATACACTGTTGTGGGCATTAACTGAATTGATATACATAAAGTTGAAACATGCTTGACATGTGATAAAAGCTCCATACATGTAAACTGTTTTATTATTATTATTATTATTATTATTATTATTATTAGCACTTTACCGTTTACAGAGGGCTCTTCCATATAGCAACTCATTAAATTCTCACAAGAGTCCTGTGAAATGTGGACATATATCTTTATTCATCTTGCAGTTGGAAGGACTAGATCTTATAACTGATCAGAGATTGATCTTACAACTGATCAGAGATTGTTGGGTTGGGAGACACACACACAAATCTAACCTCCAAAACCAATGGTCTTGTTACTGCCCTGTCTCAACCATCATGCTCTCTCTATCATCTGAGAAACATTTAAAAATACATGAATATTCAATTATATTGTTACAGGGGAGAATCACAGAGGAGTCAGAACAGTGGATCTTAAAGGAATCTCATTCCTGGGGCATTGGGCAGAGAAAAGGCCAGTAACTGTACAGATATTTTTGTCCTTGATGCCATGTTACCAATGCCCTTTTTTACTGTATCTCCTTTCTGTGTCTGGTGCCTGATTTAGTACTTTGCATATAGTAGGTGCTCATTTAATAATAGCTGAACAAAAACACAAATGACTGGCATGTATATGGGTACCAAAATAATACAAAAAAGCTGTGAAATTAGAAATACATTTACATTTTACATAATCTCTGGTAAAAGATTTGCTTAGAGGAAGAATTAGGCATCACTACTAAAACCAGCCTTGGGAATTACCAATGGACTTAATGGATGCCTCCCATCCTGCTTCACCATTAGATTAAAAACAAGCAAATGACTAACTTTTTAAAATATAAATATTTACCCAATTTAATTTTGTAAGATGCACCCCACCCAGTAATCCCAGTCCCTTTTACCCTACCTTACTTTTCTTTGTGTAGAACTCCCTACCTCCTACCACAATGTATAATTTTTATGTTCATTATTGATCATTTAACTGCCACCACCAGAACTCTACCTGCTTGAGGACAGGAACCTTTGCCTGAGCATTAATTTACCTCAGGGTCCCAGGACAGATCCTGGAATGTATTAGTGCTCAATAAATATATTTTGAATGAGCATTAATGACTCCTTTCTATGTGCAAGACAATGTGAATGCTATTGTATATAGGATTAAATAATCAATGAAAAGCTGTTTAAATGAATGTATGTATATATGTACATTTTAAGATATCAAATATATATATATATATGTATGTGTATATATATATATGGGGGGTCCCTCAGCCTGGCCTGCACCCTCTCGCAGTCTGGGAGCCCTTGAGGGATGTCAGTCGGACATCCTTAGTGCTGCCATGGAGGTGGTAGAGTCTCCTGCCTCTGCCGCTGTGCTTGCCAGCCATGAGCCCAGCTCAGGGCTTCTGGCTGAGAGGCACTTCCCCTGTAGGAGTGCACTGACTACTGGGGGCAGCTCCTGTGTTGAGCATCTGCCCCCTAGTGGTCAGTGCGTGTCATAGCAACTGGTCATTCTGCCATTCAGTTGAATTGCATATTAGCCTTTTATTATATAGGAGATATATATCTATAATAATAAAAGTGTAATATGCTAATTAGACCAGACAGCCGAATGACCTTCCGGACATCCTTCTGGATGGAGCTGTGGCTGCGAGGGCCAAGGCAAGCCACCGCAACTGTGAGGGCCGAGCCCCTTGCACGAATTTTGTGCATCAGGCCTCTAGTATATATATAACTTAAACAAAGGGCAGTGCTCATTTTGACCAGTCTTGACCTACTCAAAGTGCATCTTTGCTCCCCTGGGTCCCCCCACCCTGTGGATGACACACTCTAGGGTGTGCAGGTCACCTTTGCAGGGCCTCACCCAGCCTGCTTCCTGCCCCTCCCTCGACCCTCCTTCCCATGCTCTAGATGTCCGCAAACAAACTAGAAGTCTGAAGGCAGCATCTGGCCTGCACATGTTCATTGTTGGGCTTGCTAGGAGTTGGAAAATTTTTTCAGTGAATTGCCAACTTTTAAAAATCTGGAGAATTCTCATAAATATCCAGATTTCCGCTTTCTCTTGCAAAGCCTAAGAGTATCTGTCGACACTGGGCTGGCATTGCCACCCGGCCTTGGTAGGCTGGGGCTGAGCAGCAGCTGGCCTGCAGATAAGGCGTGTGCCCTTCTAGTTACCAGCATCCCAGCCCTGCTCATCTCACCCACTCACCACCCTGCCTGGCCCTGGAGGGGCTGGGTTTGCAGCCCCTGCCCCATCTCCAAAGATAGGAATTTGATACTGCTGCAAGCTGCTGGGAAGACGGGACTATATAGCTACACACACTGTTTACAGCTGGAGTCCATCCTGTGTATAAAAACTTGCTAATTCAGAAAATGGGCATATACTCTTTTAACAAATACTTAGCTCTGACTGCCCTTTGACCAAGGTTTGCAGTTCCTTCACTGTCCCTCAATACAATGTGCTCATTAGCTAAATCTCAAAAATAGTGTTATTTCTCTTTGAGGAAAAACATGCCATTAAGGAATAATGGCTCAGCATGCCACAAAACTTCTTCCTGATGAGTTTCCTTTTTTGGAAGATAAGCCTGCCACTTGAGCTTGTTTGAGTTTGTTTATTAGGCAAGCGTGCCTTTTTACTTTTAAAATAATCCCCCATGTATGTCACTTTGGACAAAACAGCACCACAGGCTGCCTCACTCTGTTATCACAGAGGAATTATTGTCTGATATATGAAGGCAGGGAGATGGAGCCCAGCACACTTGTTGATCCAAATGAAAATGCATCAAAAGAAAGCAGATATCTCACTGTTAGTGGATGAAAGGAAACCACTCCTCTTGCTTCTCCACTCTGGAAAGAGAAAACATGATGTGAATAAATCTCCTTTGGTTGTTTTTCCATTGTTTGCTTTTTTCTTCCTGCTGTTCCTGCTGACAAGGATGAAAAACTATAATGTGAGAGCTAATTCATGTCAGGTGCTACTGAGCCATCCATAGGAAAGCATGTAAATTTCCGCTGCTTTGAAATGGCATTGCTAAGCAATTAATTAAAATGTTGTCACTGCTACCCTGAGTGCAGTTTAAATAACCCAGCACTCAGTAAAGGGTAGTCAGTTTTAACTAAACGATGAAAACAAATGGCTGGAATCATTTGTTTTGAAAACAAAGAACCTGCCAATATGTAATGAGCCAGATGCCGGGGTGTCTCGAGTGGGCTGGTGGGGAAGGAGGGACCAGGAGGGCCAGGATGCACTGCCTAGTTAAGGGGCATTGTCCTAGCATTGCGTCCGGATGAAAGTGGCCCAAATCTAGTGAAAAGGATGCCTGGAAATTTCAGTTCCTGTGGGGAATATGATCTGGTGAGTGGGTTGTTGAAGTTAAAATTGCAAAAAAAAAAAAAAAAATCTCATGAGCACAGTAGCCAAGGGGTCAGGGCATAGAGTCAGAGGCCCAGGAAGAAGGGGACCACTAGCAAGAGCTAGCTGAGTGTTAGGCCTCAGACAAGAGTTTGAGTGAAACAGGGTTCCAGGTCTTGAATGGGAAGTGAAAGTACAAATAAAGAAACTCAGGCAATCCAGCTTCCCAGTCCTATGGATTGCACAAACTCAATGTGGGCTGGGAAGGCTGTAGCTCCAGATACTCACGAAAGTCCAAGGGTTGTCTTGGTCACCAGAGAAACATCATAGTAAGGTGAGTTCCAGGCCTTACCAGCTGGTGGGAGTTGTACCTACTGTTATGTTGCCAGTGTTGGCTCCAGGGAGTTAGGAAAAGGTGAGGGCAGGACTGAAAAGGCAAGAGCTTACAGGTACCAGTACTGTCAAGGACATCTGAAAACACACATACACACTCACACATATACACACACCCCTTCTCAAAGGATGCAGTCCAACACACACACATACACACACACACACACACACACACACTCCTCACACCCCTTCTGGGAGGATATTCTCTCTCTCTCTTCTCTCTCTCTCTCTCACACACACACACACACACACACACACTCACACACACACTCATACTCACACCCCTTTTGGAAAGATATACTCTAAAATGTTAGCAGTGATTATCATTAGATTGTAGAATTATGAATGGATTCTTTGTTGCTTTCATAAAACTTATTTTTATGTTCCCTTAATTTTTCACCATGAAAATGAAATTACTATGAAAACTTTTATAATAAGGAAAAAAGGTTCTTAAGTTATGTTTCCCTTTAATTGAATTTATATTTGAAGCTGGTTTAAAGGTGGATCCCTTGAAAACAAAAACAAAGACAAAAAAAGAAATGGGGGAAGTTTTTTTCACAGAAAGTCCTGATTATAATTTAATCTTAATCACATGCTATCCTCAAACCCTCTCTTTCTACACTTCCAAGGTAGAGTGGGGATAAGAAGGGTACAAAAGGAAGGACAGAGGGTAAAATATCATTCTAAAAAGGCCTTGAAATGTTAAATTGGGTAATAAAGTGAAAGCTGTCAAAATAAGAATAAAGTGCTCATACTTGAACTAAGAGAAACTCTTATCAGTTAATGTTTTAGTCTCTACTTCCAGGAATATGTATGCCCTTATTCCCTTTATAGATTTGTTTTTAGTTTTTCAATATGGAAATGAGTATCTTCATAACATCTTAGTAATACACTATCTAGCTTTCAGGAAATACCAGGCTCTGTTTATTCACTGATTTATAATCTGAAGGAGGCAGAGAGATGCAAAAGTTGTTCCCTGGGGTCTCCAGCCCATTTCCTTCTATTCTTGCTCTTGCTAGAATTGCAGTGTTCAATTATAGAAATGGCAACAATTACTCATAATTATGCTTCTCACATGCAATGAATGATTTCAGATGTTGTTAGCACAGCTCAGTATCTTAGTATTAGCTCATTATGAAGGTTGCCTATCACAATTTATTTGTCATTCTGTTTATGTGAAGAGACTAGAGACTGGCTAATGGATGGATTCTATGATTAGCTTTTTCAAAGGGAGAAAAAAAACCTCTTGTACTTTTGAGAGGTGTAACTATAGGTAAATTGTTCAATCTCTTGGCATCAATGTCCTACTCTGTAAAATGAGTTGGATTTAGTGATCTCTATAAAATTCCCCCTACCTTAAAAAATATATTGATTTTAACTTGCCAAGTCTGAAATTATCTGGGGGTGGAAATGGGACGTCTTTTTAGAGGTAGGTAATTCAACTTGTACATGGTGTTGGAAGAAAATATCAGAACCAAGAAAATATTTGATTGGCAGAGAGACAATGCATCTCAGTTGAAGATATTTCTCTAACTGCTACCGGTTGCTACTATGGCACATTCCTCCCCTTACTTTTTCCAATAGGGAGAGAGTGATGGGGAAAGGTGGAAGCAGGGAGTGAATGGTTCAGAGTGGGAATACCATTCCAAAACATTCTAGCTCCAGCCCTGCTGTTGATTAGTTTCTGGTCTTTTCTTCTCTCTTCTAGATTTTAGGGATTGACTTTTCCTCTTTATAGATTTGACAAAAGTAAAATTTATTTCAGCCACCTATCAGGAAGACAAGAGAAAAACTTGCAAGTGAAAGGATCCTTATTAGAACACAGATATTTCACCTACTGGGCAAAACTCAAGTCTTCCCAACACCACCTATTCTGTCACCACCACACAGCTATTGCACACCTAGAAGCTGGCTGCCAGAGGGCCACCAAAAAAGGCAAGTTAGAGGCGGATGCTTGCTGTAGTGCTGGATTCCATCAACACAATCTCTGACCAGGGGACTTCAATCGTTTCTCTTTTTGACCAGTTTCATTTCGGTAGAATTATTAAGGGCTGCCCTCAAAAAGGCTTCTAATCAGATAGTTTATGGAACATTCCTAGCATATGATACAATTGCTCCACTAATCACAGGTGAGCAAGAAGGAAGTAGAGGAATCAGTAATCGGCTAAACTTTAGGGATCAGGAGAAGTCTGGGATTGGCTCTTGCCACTAAAATTCTGATAATACATATTTAATAAATCTCAGGTGAAGCTTGGCCATTTGTCTTATTAAAAAGTTAGAGAATGTCAGGAAATGGCTAAAGGAGAAGGAAAAAGGGAAATGGAAGGTGAGATCTCACAAGCAGGTTATCATGGCCCTATGAACTATTCTGGGCTCTAGTTTCATCCCCTGGTACCCTTAGTTCAGTTGTTATTCCTTGGGGAGAATCAAATCTTTGTCTAAGGGCCAAGGGGTTTTTAAGCCTCTGTGGAAAGCAGTTTGGTGACTCTTTAGAGAGTTAAACACAGAATTACCACTGTAATTCCACTCCTAGGTATATACCCAACAAAATTGAAAACAGGTACTCAAACAAACACTTGTACACGACTGTTCACAGCAGCACTATTCACAAGAGCCAAAAGGTGGACACAAATATCCATAACCAATCAACAGATGAATAAAATGTGGCATGGACATACGATGGAATATCAGTCAGCCATAAGAGAATGAAGTTCTGATACATGCTGCAATGCAGACGAAGCTGGAAAACATTATGTTGAGGGAAATAAGGCAGACAAAAGGTCACATATGGTATGATTCCATTTTTGTGAAATGTTCAGAATAAGTAAGTGCAGATTGGTAGTTCCCAGGGGCTGGAGAAGGGGAGGACAGGGAGTGACTGTTGAATAGACACGGAGCTCTCTTTTCGGATAATGAAATTTCTCTTGGAACTACTAGTACATAGAGGTGATGGTTGCACAACAAGGTGAATGCAGTAAATGACATTGAATTATACACTAAAATTAAAAGTAATGAGTGACTTCTCTATATACCAATGTGGATGGAACTCAAAAACATTATTTTGAGCCAGAGCGATCAGATACAACAGTACATACCATATGATTTAAGTCAAAACTGTGGTTGCTTATGTGGGGGTTGACTGGAAGGGAGCATGAGAGAAGTTTCTGAGGGGATAGAATGTTCTGTATCTTGCTAGGGTTGTGATAATATAGATGTATGAATATATTTGTGAAGACTCATTGACATATGCACTCAAGTCCTGTGCATTTAACTGAATGTAAATTTTATCTCAAATAAACAAAATTAGAGAAAAAAATGAGCAAAAAAAGGCCAAAATCCTATAAAAATATGGGCAAAAACCATGAAAGGACAATTCATAAAAAACATGTTTAACCATTTATAATGATATATGAAAATTGAAACTTCACTGAGCTGTTTTTTATCTATCATATTGGCAAACATTTAAAAGCTTGATATTATACTCTGATGTAAGTGTGTGGGAAAACAGTCAGTCGTATACATTGCTATGGTGAGAAATTTGGCAATATGTAACAAAACTACATATGCTTTGACCCTTTAATCTAGCAGTTTTACTTCTAGGAATGTATCAATCTTAGTTAGTCGGGGTGGCTTATAAACAATAGAAACTTATTTCTCACTGAGATTAGGGTGCAGCCTGGTCTAGTGAGGACAGACATCTGTATCCTCACGTGGAAGGGACTATAGAGACCCGTGGTGTCTCATTTATAAGAGCACCAATCCCATTCATTAGGGCACCACCCTCATGACCTAATCACCACTCAGAGGCCTCACCTCCTAACACCATCACATTGGGTGTGAATTTTGGGGGAAGATAACCATTCATTACTCATGAAACACACCCCTAGTATACAAAAATGCGCACACAACAGGTTATTCATTGCAGCATTACTTACAGTCCATTTTTCTCCTGGGATCAACCACAGCCTCAGGTATCCTTCTAGCAACACTCCAGCATGCTCTGTGCTCATTTTCACCATCCAACCATCATGACCAGGTGATTCCCATTTAAACCAAGTAAGTGCATCTGACTACACTGGTACCAAACAATGATTAAAACCTTGGACTCACCTTGAGAGTTTGCACATCTAACAGTGCCTAGGCTCCACCCTCAGAGACCCTGATTTGGTCAAACTGGCTCCTGTGTTGTCTGTGACCTGCCCCATCATTTTATTCTGACTTTTCTATTTTCAGCTTCCACAGTGGCTGAGGTGGGGTACAGGAGTCAGCATTTTTAAAAAGCTTTCCAGATTATTCTTTTGTGCAGCCAGGCTGAGGACAAGGGGAATGAAAAATAGCAAATATTTCAGGATAGAAAGAAAAGCACAAGAATTCATCAATATTCAAGATCTTAGGAGAAACCAAGACGGCGGCATAGGTAAACACCGGAGTTTGTTGCCTCGAACAACCACTTCAAAAATACAACTAAAAGACGGAACAGACATCATCCAGAACCACAGGAAGGCTGGCTGAGTGGAAATTCTACAACTAGAAGGAAAGAGAAAAGCATACCGAGACTCAGAGGAGGCGCAGTGCGGAAGTAAAATACTAAGGTACAGAGGCGCACACGGAGCGGGCTGGCGGCTGAGGGCGAGGTTGTCTTTTTTAATCGGGAGGGAGTCTCAGGCTCTGAGCTCCAGTTCCGGGCGAGTCTCTGGGGACCCAGATTCATACGGGAGAAGCGGGACTGTCCACAGCAGCTTGCATTGCTTCTCAGCTGGGCCTCATCTGGGCACCCCCAAACCCCCAAAAAAGGAAGGGGAATCTGCATATCTCTTCATAGCTCCTGCTGGGTAACCTCAGGAAGAGGCTTAATTAGCACCTCCTTAGATCCAAGAGCCAGTGTACCCAGTGGTCAGAGTGGGACCACCCAGATTACAACTCCTCAGATTCATAAGGAACACACTCAGGGGGCAGACTCAGTGAGCACCAAAGCCCCACTGAAGCAAGTCTTGCCCCAGAAGGGTGTCTTCAGCACAGAAGTTCTCCCACTGCAGACACAGCTGATTCTCACTGCCAATTGGCCTGGAGGTCAATTCCTCCCAGTGACACCTAAAACAATCAAGGCATAACTACAACAAGACTGTGCACAAAGCCCACAAGGGGGTGCACCAAGAGTGTCCACCTCAGGTAACTGGGGAGGCTGAGCCACTGGGCCCTGTAGGACACCTAGCACACAAAACCACTCTACCAACACAGGGAAGCAGACAAAATGCGAAGACAAAGAAACAGGTCACAAATGACAGAAATGGAGGACAGCAAACGACTGGATATAGAGTTCAAAACCACGGTTCTAAGATTTTTCAAGAATTTTATGGAAACCGCCGATAAATGTATTGAGATCCTTAAGAAATCTAGTGAGACCCTCGATGTTGTGATAAAGGACCAACTAGAAATTAAGCATACACTGACTGAAATAATATTATACAGACTCCCAACAGCAGACCAGAGGATCGCAAGAATCAAGTCAAAGATTTGAAATGCGAAGAAGCAAAAAACACCCAACCGGAAAAGCAAAATGAAAAAAGAATCCAAAAATACGAAGATAGTGTAAGGAGCCTCTGGGACAACTTCAAGCGTACCAACATCAGAATTATAGGGGTACCAGAAGAAGAGAGAGGGCAAGATATTGAAAACCTATTTGAAGAAATAATGACAGAAAACTTCCCCTACCTGGTGAAAGAAATAGACTTCCAAGTCCAGGAAGCGCAGAGAACCCCAAACAAAAGGAATCCAAAGAGGACCACACCAAGACACATCATAATTAAAATGCCAAGAGCAAAAGACAAAGAGAGAATCTTAAAAGCAGCAAGAGAAAAAAAGTCAGTTACCTATAAGGGAGTACCCATACGACTGTCAGCTGATTTCTCAACAGAAACTTTGCAGGCCAGAAGGGAGTGGCAAGAAATATTCAAAGTGATGAATAGCAAGAACCTACAACCAAGATTACTTTATCCAGCAAAGCTATCATTCAGAATTGAAGGTCAGATAAAGAGCTTCACAGATAAGGAAAAGCTAAAGGAGTTCATCACCACCAAACCAGTATTATATGAAATGCTGAAAGGTATCCTTTAAGAAGAGGAAGAAGAAGAAAAAGGTAAAGATACAAATTATGAACAACAAATACACATCTATCAACAAGTGAATCTGAAAATCAAGTGAATAATCTGATGAACAGAATGAACTGGTGATTATAATAGAATCAGGGGCATAGAAAGGGAGTGGACTGACTATTCTTGGGGAGGAAAGGGGTGAGGGGGATGCGGGAAGAGACTGGACAAAAATCGTGCACCTATGGATGAGGACAGTGGGTGGGGAGTGAGGGCGGAGGGTGGGGTGGGAACTGGGTGGAGGGGAGTTGTGAGGGAAAAAAAGAGGAACAACTGTAATAATCTGAACAATAAAGATTTAACTAATCAAAAAAAAAAGAAAAAAAAAGATCTTACCTTGCTATATAAAGCATTAAAATTTCCATCCCTTCTGGGTGCTTAGTTCCAACCAGTTTCCTTCATGACTACATCTGCTGTGGAAAGGAAGATGGAGGTTTGATCTTTACCCTGGTGAGTCACATAACCTTTTTATTGGGGGGAGGATTGGATGCCTTTACCATTAGGTGCTCCTTTAACCATTTTGTGGTGTTCCCACCTACTCCCTTTCAGTGAGGTCAGTAACTGGGAATACCACAGATTTCTAGGTCATCATTGCCTTTACCGGCAGAGGCATGGCTACTTCCAAAAAATTGGTCTGTGAGTGAGGCAAGAAAGGAGAAACAAAGACAGTGACTAGTTCCATTGTCACCCTCCCATTTGTATGCGTATTGGTTTGGCTTGTTTATTATTGATTTCCAGGTCAAAACGTTCTCTTTACTTTTTTTACCTAGAGCACGGAGGGCCAGGAAGCATCAGACAGTGTTTTTAATGGGACAACTTTGATGATGTGATTTTTAAAAATTACTTAGTCAATAAGGATTCATTTGAACTTGTACAGAATGGTATTTGATTGGGACAAACATAAACAAGTATAAAATGGGTGTCATAGGTAATGGAAAAACAATTTTATGGATTGTCAAACCCAATGTTTCTTCAACCCACACACAATTGAATTAAAAACTTCTAAAGTTCATCTTTGTGAACTGTCACCAGGAAACCTGCCGTGAACTGCCCTCAGGGGTGATTTGGTTGCTAGAGGAAACAAGGAAGACAATAATAACTGGTGAAAAGTGAGGCTGCTTTTTTGCATCTGTCTAGTCCAGTGGTCGGCAAACTGCGGCTTGGCAAACCGAGGCTTGCGAGCCACATGCGGCTCTTTGGCCCCTTGAGTGTGGCTCTTCCACAAAATACCAGCTCTTCCACAAAATACTGACTTCTGCACATGGGCCACGAAGTTTCAATCGCACTGTACGTGCGCGCCCGCACATAGTATTTTGTGGAAGAGTCACACTCAAGGGGCCAAAGAGCTGCATGTGGCTCTCGAGCCACGGTTTGCCGACCACGGGTCTAGTCAATAGGTAAAGTCTTGTTCTAGTCACTACTAGGAGCTATTAGTTAGCTTCTTTCAAAATTTCTCTCTCCAGACATCTGTCTTCAGAACCTTTGAAGGAAGATCTATGTGAGTGAGCAGAGGTGGAAGGGCCTGTCATCTCCAATTGCTTAGTGAGATCTACAGTATGGCTCAGCCCTAAAATATGGCCCATCGTTTAAAAAGAGGCACAAGGTTTGAGGATCTGCCTTGTATCCGCAAGTTACTTTTTCAGTTGGCAGACTATCTTGCTAGCTTCAACACTTGTCCCCAGTCTGTATACCTTCTGTTTTTTCTCTCCATCTGGAACAATTGTCTCATCCTGCTTATACACTTCCTATTTTTTTCATGAGATCTCCCTAGAGTCTCCCTAGATCTCCCTAGGGCCTAGACCATTTTAGTTACTATTGCTCCTGCCTTCTCCTAATGCTTTTACAGAATGCACCCAAATCTAGAACAAATTCTGTGTTAGTGCTTATTGCTACTTCATGTGCATATGTCTTGCTTTCTAACAAAACGTTAAACTATGTTAAACTTTAAGCTGCTTAAAGAAAGGAATAACTTATAATTTCTGATCTCCCCCAGCTCCTAGCATAGCATTGCAGATACTTTAGGTAAAGACTTTAGCTAACAATGAACGGACCTTAAGCTACACAGATTTTGCTTAATAAATTATTCTAGTTTGAGTATGGTGTTTCCTGTTGGGATCTTGACTAATACAAAAATATATATTTTAGGTGTAAAAGGGACACCGTCATTTTAAATATATACTTTATTGATTTTTTACAGAGAGGAAGGAAGAGGGGTAGAGAGTTAGAAACATCGATCAGCTGCTTCCTGCACACCCCCTACTGGGGATGTGCCCGCAACCAAGGTACATGCCCTTGACCAGAATCGAACCTGGGACCCCTCAGTCCGCAAGCCGACGCTCTATCCACTGAGCCAAACCGGTTAGGGCGGGACACCGTCATTTTAAAAATACTATGCCTTTTTCTTTTGTGAAGCCAAGAATTCTGTTGTAAAGTGGAGAATCATCTTCTAATTTATCATTTATGTAACACCTATAATTTTTGAGTTTTTATATCATGAAATTTTACACAGAGCTAAAGAAAAATGAAAAGAGCAAAACCATGGAAAAGGATGATGTTTTCGAACAGCAGTTTTGGATTTTTTTATGCCATCTGAACACAGGTCTGGGTTTGGTGGTGGAGTTTATGAGTTGTTCAGTCCTCAGTTTCCCTCCTGCACTTCAATCTCAGCCAAAAGCCTGTCTCGCTTCCTCCCTTGGCTCCCTCTCCTCCCCATCAAGGACAGAATTGCAACTTGAGCTCTGAAAGGATATTGTGGATTTCAGACATGGGAGCCCCTTTTGGTCTGAATGAGTCATTACAGTTTCCACCCTCAGAGAATTAAAGTCAGAGGTGGTCTAGTTGCTTTCACTCTCTGACCTTATTCGGCAGTGCTCTGCATGATTCTTTGATGATCCAAGTCTTCTAAAATTTCTTTCCTGAGTCTTTCACAATTGCTGAGTTAACATGTCTGCTTAACGAAGTATGGTGCCTAAAATAATAGAAAGATGGGTACTGTATATGATTCAGCAATTTATGAAAATAGAAGATTACAAATTGTTCCAATCATTGTAAGCATCAGATGATTGCCATACCTTGCTGGAAGAAGAGCTGGAATCAGTGCTAGGTCTCTGATCTGCAGCGGAATCTGACATTGAGGTGAGGTCCTATAGAACCATGTGCTAGTTTTAATGTTGTAATACCTTCTTTGTAGCTTCCCAAGCTTTCTCTACACATAGATCTGCTGATTTAACACTCTTTGTCCTTTGCAGACATCTTATTACTAAGATTACTTATGATCATCTACTATCGTTTCTGTAATGGGTGACGGCCACTAAAGAGAACAAGGCTACTTGTGGAGCAGACAGTCCTCCATGGCAACTGAGACTGACAGAGCCAACAGCCAGTGAAGCTAATGCTTACCTTCATTTTGGGGACAGGGAAGGAGCTAGAGAGAGATTTAGGCATCAAGTCTCCCACCCCAGCACTTGCAATATAATCCAATGACATTTTCTCACTCTGAGATGGTTAGAGGCAAGGATACTAGGCAGTGTTGCTGGGTGAGAGGTATCTAGACTTGTGTCTGTCTGCCTTACCTTCATTGAAAAGTGGTCTAGAGTCCCATGAGAAGACAAATTCCTAGGGATAAGGCAGTCCATTCTTGTCTTTGGACCACTCTAACTACTGGGATATGTTCCTTTATATTTGGCTTTTATATTTACTGTACTCAAGCTTTCCTTTTGTATGCGTGCTTGAAACTTTTGCCCAGTTTGAGAAACTTAGAGGGCATTCTGGTCTGCATTTTGTGAACCGCTTCTAAATTTAGCCAATAGAACCTCTAAGGTGATGGGAAAAGAAGAGCTTGAGTAAGATTTGACAGCTTTGAAAGTTAGAAGGATTATGTATTTTATCAATTTCATAAGTAGTATATTTATGCCTCACCTCAATTTACAAGTGATTTTTACATCACACGATTTATAGCTCAAATAGGTAAAATTAAATGATAAAGTGTAAACAGGATCAAGGGAAGGAGAATACAAATATGGCACCCATACAGGGAACACAATTGCTGGGAAGGGGCATTGGCTCTGACTCTTGGTCAAAAAGGTGAACATAACCAATGGAGTGCTCTTAATTAGAGGGGGAAAGTAAGAGTCTTCAGCAGAAGCAAAGCTTTGTTTAGCACTGAGATTAAAAGAGATTCACTTGAGGGCTCTATATTGTGAACACGGAGTCATATAATAAACAATGTCCTCAACAACAACTTTACGGTAAACAAGCAAATATATTTTTTATGGTTGTTTCTCAAAGCAACCTTTGATGAAAGCTACCACATTCATGTTAGTGCTTGGTGAAGTCAATTCTTAAAGGAGCTAGACTTAACTAAGTGCTTACTTAACTCTATAATTTTTGAAGGTCCTAATTCATTCAAAAATAGTATTCATGGTTCTTAAAACAGTTTTCTTACTTTTTCTGATAATCCTTTGTGGTCCACTCATATTTGGCATAAGTGGCTGGCAGTCATGTCCTCTGAAATTCAGTTGACTTTAATGACATAACATTTATTGATTTTATTTGGTCACAAATAAATGTATACCCATTGTATAAAGTATAGAAAACACAGAAATATAAAAGAAGGAAAAATCATGCCTAAGTCCATTACCTAGAAATTTCCACTGTTAACCTTTTTTTTTGTATTTTCTTTCTCGCATTTTCTTTCTCTCTCTCTCTCTCTCTCTCTCTCTCTCTCTCTCACACACACACACACACACAGTGCCTACTTCTTGCTATTCAAAATCCACTGGCACACTTTAGGAAAGATAAGGTCTCTGCCATTGTGAAGGTTATAGTCTAGTAGCAGTAAAAGATAGAACTAAAATAATCATATAGATTAGGGCATTATTACAAATTGCTCTAGGTACCATAAAAAAAGACATAGTTCTAGGCTTTCATATATAAAGTAACAAAAGAAAACAGAGCTGAACTGGTGTGACAGGGACACCCTCCTCTGGGAATTGAGATTATGTCCTAAATAGGAGTTAACTAGATGAAGAGAGGGAGAAGATACTTTGAAACAGAAGAAACACATATGAAAAAGTGCTTTGACAGGGGAGAAAAGTAGCTTTAAAGAAAGAGAAAGGAGCCAGCATGCTAGAAGCTGGAGAGAATCAGTTAGGGGAACCTGAAAATGTAATCAGAAGTCAGGCTGTGCAGAGTCTGCAGGCTGCATTAAAGATTTTTGTCTTTATCTTAAAAGCAATTGCAGGACTTAAACAGGAGTTTTGGCATGATAAGGTTTAAGTTTTGAAAAGGTGATTCTGACTGCAAGGAGGATAACTCATCCTAGGAGCAGAGAGGGTGTTAGGACACACCACACACGTTAGGAGGTTATTGCGGGGGTCCAGGTGAGAAATGATGATTGCTTAACTTGGTGTGGTGA